AAAATAAATGGGAAATATCTCAAAGCTGGAAAATTGAAATGAAAATGGAGATGGAGATGTGAAGAGATCAGCGCAGATCACGTTGAACATGAAAAGCATGAAAAGAGTTTTATACTTTTCAGATCCCACTAAATAAAATTCAAGGGTTCGCACGGAATATGGGTGAGGCTTCCTATTTGGACTGGAGATTTTGCCCCTCAGGGGATGCAAATTGTTTTGCACTTGAAAACGAACGAGTTAAAGGCGAGGCGTTGGAGATCATTAAGCTAAACGCACGACATTTCCGTTTTAATCAACCACCCGCTACCAGCGAAATTAACTCAATTCACAAAAGCAGCCAAAAAATGGCAGAGACAAAAAGGGTAACGAAATGACTGGGAGTCGTGAGTAGCAAATATTTAGGGGTCTAACCAAAATTTGGGTACCCTTTCGAAAACCTTAATATTTGGCTTATTTTTAATTTAAATTAAATCCTTAAAATATATTCTAAATAAATACCACATTTTCTATCAGACATTACATCCTCAATTTAATTTTTTTGATAGACGAAAACCTTGCTGGCAACGGTGTTAAGATTACTTTACACATTTTCCCGTAAAATATTTTATAAAGGCAATCAAAGCAGATAAATGTGCCCACATAACTCTCGGCCATGCCATTATTCCAATCAACCGAACATCCAGCTGCATTCCTATCAATCTCCGCGGCACTTCTTCCACAGCTCCCCAAAGCAGCCAACACGATCTGCAGAAATGTCTTGCGGAAAAAAGAGTAAACATAAAAATTAACTTAGAAAAAGAAAAAAAGAGACGACGGGGCGAGAAAACGGAATTTCATGGCTCAATGAAAAGGCCAGCTGAAGCTGAGGCTGAAGAACTAATAAACAACAACCACAAGAGAGCAGTCATGGCTTGGAAATATAGTTCATAGGCATTGTGATTGCCTTCAATAAATTGCAAATAATTTCGACCTCATTTCGCTGGGCCAGCCTAGCCACACGGTCACGGACAACGCCCCACAATCCCCCGCCGACACCTTCAAATTGATATAGCCACCTCCACAAATCCGAGCACTGCGTGATATAATTTCTAAGATCTATAGACAGATCTCGGAGTGGACCAAAAGTATTTCCAGAGACCACGCACATGCTCGGGATTTAGTGCGCCGTCATAAATTTTCCAGCAACTCCGTTCGACTTCTTTTTAATTAAAATGCTATCAAATGTCAAGTTTACATGGCCGGAGCGCCAGCTGCGTCGAGGAGCAGGCAAAAGCAAAGCAAACACTTGTCATCTTGACAGGCCAAACAAAGCGTGACAGACGCAGGGAGAGATTAGGGGCAGGGAGCAGGGGCAGGGGCCAGGGGGCGCCTAACGAGGGTCATTCAATGAGTTGAGACTGCATTCGCATTTGCATAGGATACCCACACAGACGGCGCACTGCACCTGGCAAATGTGGGCTCCACTCGTGGACGCGGACTTGGACATGTTTAAGTAATTGCGCGCGTGCGTGGTGGCAAACAATTGAGACACACTGTGTACACACACTGGGCCCGGACCTGGGCTTTGTTTTTGTTTTGGTTTTTGGCCAGGTCTTTGGCCAGGTCTTTTCATTTCTGTACGTTTTTTTTTTTTCATTTTTTCCTGGGCTTTTCGGCTTTTGTGTCTGGTGTCTCTTGATAGTTTGGCGGCGATAAGCGCGACATGTCAGCGTCAGCTAGAGCTCGAGATTCAGATTCAACTTGAAGTTTAGCGTGGCAGCTTTAGATTTCGAGCACAATATATTTTGTCAGCTCAAACGGTGTACATAATAGCCCAGAGATAAGATTGTAATGGGCCGGTTAAGCGGCTCATAAATCATTGGCATGGAAATTGCTTTTCCATGATAGACAACTTGTTGCGACCGGCGAACATAGTTAGCGGCTGCTGCTGCCACTTCCGCAAAGGCAAGGCGAAACCTGCAAACTAAGTCATTTTAAGCAGCACTTTTCACTTTCCGCTAAACACTCGACATCCGCTTGGTGAAAAGTTCATTTAGAAAACAAACAAACAAAAACTTAAACTCATTTTCATAACAGCCATCGCCACCGGTCAGCATCGTGAATGTGCAGCTTTTTTATTTATCTTTCTATGCCAGTCTGGTATGCGCTTCCTGCGCCGATTTCTATGTAGAAATATGCTGGGAAATTTAGCGCCAAGTGGAGAAATTACTTGCAGAAGCATCGGCCTAAAGGAATTTCGAAAAAATGTATAACAAATGTGCTGCAAACAAGCTGTCATAGGTAAATAAGGAAGCCAAGAAACCTCTGGCAGAATAATTTAACCTAAGCCATAATTTTAAAGCTATATTTGCTTAGTGCATAGCCATAATTTATTTGCCGATTGTTGTTTGGTTTTAGTCATCTTCTAGCGGACTTCCGTTTCTGCGGACACAAATGATTAGTGGGTTTTTTTCCCAAGCATGCTTTATGTGAGTGATATGGTATGGTTCATCATTTTTGAACTCGTGTTTATTAATATTTTCAAAATTGATTCTTATTATAGTAATCTAAACAATAATTTAAAGAGCTACACATATATATTACTATCAGTTTTTAAAGACAACAAATAATTATCAAAAAGTTTTGTTTCACCTTATTGTGAGTAAAGGCCTACATTTAAAAATGAATAAATACGAAAATAAAATGGTTTTTGTTTTACCTTATTGTGGATGAAGGCCTACATTTGAAAATCAATTATTCCGAAAATAGAATGGAATATTATACCTACTTTTCTTGGCCTAACACATAGCGATTCGTTATAGTTGACAAGGAACTATGCCGTTTGCGGTGTTTCCGCCATTAACTGTCCGTTTAACAATACAAAGTCTGCCGCAAGGGCATGTAAAGTGCCAAAAAAATGAAAAAGAGAGAAATCAAATTCCACTCCTTGTGCGGCGAGGGGCTGCTGCCCAACTATACAAATTTCCTTCTGTATATAATATGATTGATTGCCGCGTTGACCTGGAAACGTAGCAAACTAATAGTTACACTTAACAATGGGACCAGGGGACAGTGGAGCCGCGCATAGATTTATGTACGTACATATATGATCCATAAGATCCATAAAGAAAATGGGTCAACTGGGGCGGTGAACAGGCTCGGAGAAGATGAAATAATAAAAGTTGGCCGAGTGGGCGCTGCATTCCGGAGCTGCAGTTGGGGATTCAGGTAGCTCTGGTAGCCGCAACACCTTGAGAGGGACTCGAAATGGACAACAAAAAATACCCAGACTGCCTCATGACGTGGCGCTATTTTCGGCATCTGGGGCTGGTTGACGAAAGCGGCAAGTTAATGAGCTGCCCCCGATCTTTGCGGCTCCCCTGATTACTAGGTTTTTTACATTATTATACGTATGTAGTTATGAGGTGCCCGCCTCCCGTTTTTCCCCTAACGACGACGACGACGACACGGCGACTTCAATTTCACTTTTCCGACCTGGATGCGGAGCCTGGTGTTGTCAGGCCGTCATGCTGGCCGAGCGGAGAACAAAAGACTTGGGCAGCGAACTTGTTTTGGGGCACCGACAGTGGGTAATTAAAAAACCGTTAATATCGGAACCGCTCTCATCGTTGCCCGGGTGTCAAATCAAACATAAAAAGAAATTATTAAAAATTCATAAAAGACAGCATATATATTGGGCCAAAAGCAGATATGAACAAAATTGAAAAATCGGGCATAGAAATGTGAGAAAAGTCAGCAGGGACGCCATAAAATGCAAAGTAGATGAACAGCGATAGCCAGATAGAAGATACCAAATACAAGACAGCCAATAAGCCCGGGTAATATGCCCCTACCCCCTTCTCGAAATCCCGCCCGAAAATGTAGCGTTAAGTGCTCAATGGCCAGAAAACGGCATTAAGCCATAAAATCGTATCGAAAGAGAAAGAGCCAAAAGAAATGCTCAAAGCCGGGCCAAATCCCACAGCCAAAGAAACGATTGATGGAGTTCAAATGCATATTGATTGACGTTGAAATGCCCCAAATGGAGCACGGCACCGAGAGGCAGGTGCAAGTCGGCCGTGGTGGCTGTTTTGTGGCTAATAAGTGGCATGAATTAGTGAAACGCTTATGGGGGTCAGGTCGTTGCGGCACTCCACTCAATGGACTGTTTAGAGGAAAGGCTTTTAAGAGAAACAGTCGCAGTTTGGGGCCATTGAGGCGAATCGAAATCGTAAATTCGAAATCATTGACTAAAAGCTTTTGATAAATTATAAACAAGGGGCCAGGGATGTGAATGAGAGCGTTTCTATCAATGGCTAGAAGCAGCAGCAGTCGCAGCATAATTGTTGTGAGAAAACATCTTGCTTATTTATGGGAAAAGTTCAATAGACTTGGGCGTGTCCGTCACAGCCTTTCCCCAAAAGCAAACCAGATTCTACCAGACAGAGGTCAAAGGGTTTTTTTTTTGCACAATTCTCCATTGATTAAGACAGAGAAGAAACGGTCGTAAAACGAACAATTTATGGGGCGAAACGTTATCAAAATGCTGACAGTTTAATGCTCAATGCTATGTCAGCCTATGCAAATTCTAAAAATAATCCCATCCACCCATTGAAAACCCCTACCACACAAAAGAATTAAGCGGTCAAGCGATTTTAAAAATAGTTGACAAATATATTAAGAGCATAAATCAGCATCAGAATTGTTAGTAGAGCGCGAAGAGAGCCGGGAGTCTTCATTGATTTGGTTTTGATCTGGCCAAAAATCCAGTAACTTTTATTATCATCTACCGCTTTGGCTCCGGCCACAACAAACAAATCCTATAATAGCAGAAACAATCGAAAACCCCCAAAAAAAAAAAACCGAAACAGAAAATAAAGATCAGCTCTGCCGGCGTTGTCGTCACGCTCTCAGCGGATCGGCCGAAGTCGACGCCAGCGTCGCCGTTGCTGTTGGCCAGCCACTTCTTGGACATGCTGGCCAAGAGCCAGATTTAGTTCAGTTCAGTTTCAAGTGTTTGAGCGTTGCGTGCGTTTCGGAGCTTCGAGCGGAGATTTCGTTTGTTTCGTCAGTTTCTGTTTTCTCGCCTCTCCGACTTCCGTATAAGTTCATTTGCCGTCGGCCAACATTCAAAGTTTCCATCGCCTGTTGTCGTAGTCGTCGCGATTCCGATTTCGATTCCTGTCGCCCACCAACACCAACACCACGACCACACCAAACGGAAACCGCCAACGGAAACTGCGATACGGAGCTCAGTTTTTTAATTAACCCGACCAAATTAGTTTTGTTCAAGAATATTTCCCGTACCTCCGACAAATGCAAATGAAATAGTAGCTGGCAAATTTATGAATGCAGGCCGAGAATTATGTTTCGTCTGATAAGACGATGCGATGATAAATGTGTGTGAGAGTGTCTTCTTCAACAATCGGTAGCCATAAATAATGCTCATTATGGGCTGAGGCCTGGGAAAAACTAATGAAATTCTTTGTGTGGCCCAACAAATTTAATACGAATACAAAAGTATCAAATACTATAAACGTACATATTTATGTGGATTTATTAAGCTGTTAAAATTTGGATAACTTTCAGACCACTTTGACCAATTTTAAACCGGTAAGTGCAAGTTTTGTTGCCAAGTTCGTTGTCCAAGTCTTTAGTTTATTTCGTAGGTATATCTATAAATTTCTTGCCTGCCGTTCATCTATGCAAAGCAGAACCATATTAAAATCAAATTTCTTTAGTTTATATATATATATACCAAATTGTGTATATTTTAATAGTTTTATCATATTCATTGTGGCGCGACACAAAAACAGGGCTACCTTATCGCAGGCATAAATTCAAGTTTTATCGCTGGCGATTTGTATTTGGAAAGTCATGACGCACAGGCCTTAGAAATACCCAGCCAGTTATCATGGCCAGAAAACCGCAAAACAAAGCAGAATTAAAACAAGATAATAGGAGAATTTTGGCCAAGCTAGTAACTATTAATAAAAAATTCTTTGTCTTTCCACGGTCTTTTGTGCCGCAAATTGGCAAATTAATTACAAATTTCACAAAACACTGATAGCGCATCTAAACGGCACTTGTGCCTTATCTACCATTTGAGTTTTGCTTTCCTCAAATTTAAATAGTGCCAAAAATCTCGCTTGGCGCCCCTTAACTTTTGGCCCGCTTAAATTAGTCACTCGGCGTGTGCAAGCCAAGCGCCTGGTCAGCAATAATTATATACTAATTTAGCGTATAATTAGCTAATTAGAACTGCGCGGCGACTGCCGCAAAAACCCAAAAACTCAAACGCAGAAAATATGTTCCGGCAACACCTTCTGTGCAAAAAAGAAAAATGCGCAAAAATTTGAGCTTGCCAAAATAGAAAACGGCGAACCCTTGACAAGACCGTAGCTTGAAAAGCTATTAATCAAACGCGGCTGGCCGCATGTTTGGCTTGCTGTAAATAATAATGACTTCATAATTGATAATTTGGCCAGTTGCTGGAAGAAAGTTAGTCCAACTTGGCAGTAGCCGCGGCTTAGGCAACAAGCAAAGGCACACATATCCACTGACACATACAAGCCTTATAAATTAGCCATCAATGAATATTAATTAGTTTTATTTATTTAAATTGTATAAAAATATAATCAATAACAAGCAGGCACTGATGATAGAAGACAAGAAAAGCCATAAACCGAAGTTAAAGTGTGTGCAGGCAGTAAATTAAAACGAAATCAATTTTAGATAAGATCCCGAATGGGAGCAGCACAATTTTTCACTGAACTGCCTATCATAAAAATCCGATGGCTAATACAAAAAAAAAATACAATTGGCTTTAAGCTTGGGGAAAGAGAAACACCTTAATGGCATTTAATTAAAACGAAGGCAATAAAAAACTCAAGGTATTAAAATTATTAAAGTGAAACGTCGCCACTTTAAATTAAAAACGACAAAAACGGAAAAATAAAAATAATAAAAAGCAATTCCAAATCAACGCCGCATTCAGCAATGGAAACAAAAGACTCAAGCAACGAACTCACGGTGAAGATAAGCTTTACTTAACTACACTCGTGAATAACTTTGTATTAACTCTTGATCACTGCTTTTGGGGAGCAGGGACAAAAGACTTAGGCAACGAACTTGTTAACGCTCTAAGTCAAAAAATTATGAATGAAGCAAAAAACGGATTATGGTGCGCGACCGAAAAAAGATAAAATGATTAAAATTATGATGGTATTCCAAGAATACGTTAAAACGTCATAGACGGTCGGTATGAACAAGCTGCTGCTAATAATAGAACTTAAAACTATAAATATATTATTAGAATACGGGTTTTTGAAGGCTTTAATAAAAAGAGAATCAAATAAGACTACATTAAAATTTTTTATAATGCGTAACAAAGAACTTTTCTAAATAAATATTTTCATACAAATTTCTCTCTTGCTTTTTCCACACGATTGAATTATTTATTTGACGTTAAATTAGTCACTCATTTATCCATTTAACATGGCCAAGAGACAGACCAAAATTTTCTTCAATTAACGGCAAATCTAGTATGTTTGCCCAGAAACACGGTGACAAATGAGTGAAATAAAAGCTGTTAATTTGTCTGTGAAGCCCCATGGGTTGTGAAATCACTGACTGATTGATTTTGTTTATCTTATTCGTTCGTATTCATTTTCTAGTGTCTAATATTAATAATTAAAAGTCTGTTGCCCGTGTCATGCAGCCAACAACACCGCATACGTGTTAAAGCGCCAAAAGGGAGGAATATGCAAATTTCAGAGTTCGCTATCGGTGTTTCGGTCTTCATAATTTTCTATGAAAAATGTTGTGCCGCTGTTTTGTTTTCTCACATAAATCTGCCACAGGCGCATAGAAAATTTCACCCAAAAAGAAACCGGAAGCTTGGCCGTCAAGTGGAATGGACTCTGGGTCGTTCGTTCGCTTAACTTTAGCGGGTGTTTATCAGCCTTGGAAATTTTCATAAATTTCTTCTTCTTTTGGCCATATTGGTATACCCAGACACGCAGCACCCGATTTTGCACTGAATTTTTTCTCACTTTCGCATAATTGTGGAGGTACTCTTGCGGGGCTCGTTTTTCGTTCGCTTGTCTCTTTCTGGGTCTGCGCTTCCACGCTCCTCATGTCAGACACTTTGTCAAAATAGCATTTGTTACGCTGTCAGTGCCAGCCACCAACGCACTGGACAGCCACAAAGGCAGTAACAACGGCAACAACAGCAGCAACACCAGCAAAAACAACAGCAACCATAGTAATAACGAGCGTTATCCAAGCATCATCATTATCAACTCTTAACCATCGGTTTATGTTGTTTGCCACCGAAATGATTTAATTTTGACAGACCTTTTTTTTTTTGCTGCTGCTCCCTGTATGTGTGTACATTTTTTTTTTTTTTTTTTGGCGTTTCTTTCTCGACTTTTATGTGTGGGAGTTTTTGGATTTTAATTTAAATTTCTTTGTTGTTGTTCCTGTTGCCGGTGCTGTCTATTTTGGTCATAATTTTTGTCGTCTTGTTGGTGTTTCTGTTGCTGCTGTCGCTTGAACTTTATTTGATATGCATTACCCCGGCCTGGCTTTCGTCTTTGTTTATTTCTTCTACGACTTCTCCTTTTTGGCATTAAGTGCTTGTAAATTGGGTCAGTGGGAAGTTACACTTCAGTCGACGCTCGTTCGATGCCGATGTTGTTGTTGTGGTCCGTACTTGTACTCCACAACGTCATGTGTCATAAATTTATTTGTCTGCTGCCCGGCCTGAGAACTTTTGCCTCTGACATTTTCCCGTTCGATTTTCATTTGTTTTATTTATTTATTTTTTTACTGCCAACCATAAATGCCAGAGAATTTTCCTGCACTCAAAAAAATACTTTTTTAGATATTATTTATTTTTGAATTACTGCTAGCAGTAATATCAATTGATAAACATTCTTATTAGAAAAAGGATTTCTAATAATTTGAAGGAGTATTTTACCAATACCCAAAAAACTTTAAGGAAGTAAAAGGCAACGGCTAAAATAAAGATTTTATCGGAGTGTTTTCGAGGCATTTAAAGTGCTTTTTCTGGGGTTGTGCTGCCACAAACACTTCTCCTTGTTTACGAACCCCATAAGCTTGGACAGAATTTTGCCACTTCCTGCTCCTGCCAATTTGTGAGAGCAGTACCTAAACCAATTTGTCTATCGGTCCCATCTGATCCCACCCGATGAAGCCATGTGATCATCCGATCACCGCGGGAGTATGCAAATGCCCCAAGGATTTACAATTAATTTAACCCTGATTAGCTCTCGGCTTTGCTGTTTTCATTGCAGAGATGCATTTTTATTGTGCCCCCGATGGGTTTGAGTCCCACACACTCAACCTATTTATCTGGGTGCTGTAAAAACTCAGTGCACCATCCTTCGCGGCCATGGCTCATTGAATCTGGAGTCAGGAAGCGCAATGTGCAATGTGAAGTGACTTTGGCTGTCTGCTGTCTAGACTCGAGACACTCTCACAGTTGCCAGCTGCATGTGGCATCGAGTCGAGTCGATGGAACAAGTGCAGAGGATTGGGTTAGAGGATTGGATTGGGTTAGAGGATGCATTTGCAGTGCTTGGCTTGATTTTTATTGACACAAGTTGCTGGCTGTCGGCCGAGTGCCGAGTACCGACTTCTGGCTGCCTTGCTGCCTTGCTGCCTGGCACACATTTAGCATATTTTATGAGTTCGTGTCGATGTCGTTTGTGCAACGAGCTTTTTGTTCTTCACTACAGCTCTTTGCATAATTATTGTGGAGCGCATTTTGTGTTTGATTCGGATTCTATGTAATGTCAGCGCTACCGGGGAGGTTGTCTTTTTTTTATGGTCGCATTTAGTGCCTCGTGTAGCCGCATCGGTAAGTACAAATACCCACGGGACATGTGACCCACTTGTTGAGGAAGGTGCCTCCTGCTCCCCACTGATCGCATCGCATAAATCAAGAACAGTCATTAATGTACGTGCATAAGTTATTCGAATAAATCAAGGGGTTTTCGGTGGGGAAGACCCCCTGCTAAATTAGTTTTCACTATATATACACTCGGCCATATATAAACACATAAGTACATGGAGATTTCGCTTGTTAACATTAATAATAACTTGTAATTTGCAGTCGTTGTTGAAAATCACTCACTGAGCGAAGAAGGGAAAAAAAACTGGTAAAAACTAATTACAACATTTTTCACATGTGTGTAGGTAAACATTCATTCATAATACGGAGCCAGAGCCAGCATAATGTAATGTAAATGAGAAAAGCCAGACGAGATGAGAAGAAACTTGACCAAAAAAAGCGTAGACTTTGAAGATCTTCCGCATGGTTGGCTTCTGTCTCCCCCTGGGTCCAACATCTTTCCCCCCGGAGAGTGATCTCAGTGTGTTGTTAATTTCTGTTCATTAAGTCAGAAAATAGTCAGGTTTAATGTTCGAGCGAGGCACAAAATTAATTAAACATTTATCAAAATCAACGCCGCCTCTCAGGGTCCCGCGATAACAGCGAAGTTCGAAATATCCGAAAACTTCCCCCCAAAATACGATGACATTTGGGCATTTTATGAGCATGACCGCCATTGTTTTGGCTTTTGGGATCGCTTAACTCTTGTCATTGTACTAGTCAAAGTACGAATGCCGCTCTGAGACTCTTGGCCGAAATCGTAAACGAAACCGAAAACGATGCCACAAATTCCAAGCTGCGACTTCGATACAGACGTGGACGTCAACATCAGAGTTCGCCTGTCGTTCCGAAATGAAAAATGCTCAAAATCCGACACAAAAAACCAAAGAAACACTTTGGCTCGTTATTCTTGGCCTGGGCTTTACTTTTTTCGGGGGTCTCGTTTTTGCCTGATTCGAATTCGGACTTGGACGTGGACGTGGATGTGGAATTGGACGTGGAAGTGGTTGGGCATATCGCTCGGCTTGGCCCAGCACTTGAATTGCACTTGAGTGCTGTAAATATTTTTTAAGGCTGCCTGGCTGGGGATCTTGAAGCCGAAACGAATCTCGAATGCCCTCCCTGAAGGCAGATGAGCCCCACATTTGAGTGGAGATGAGCCTGGCTTATTATGAGGTCAGCGGCGGGCTTTTGAAGTTATCATTGCGGCTGTCAGCAGGTCACTTCAAAGCCAAATCTATTGACAATGTTGCAAAGGCGAAAGCCACACAAAATCTGGGTTGGCTTGAGATTCTAGGGAAACTGCAATGATATCTAAATAACCCAAATAAAGGGTGAGTAGGAACTTTTGTGATCGAAATCAAAAATATCTGAATAGCTCATTGAAAATCGAATCATACTTTTTGGGAAAATCAGTTTAAATATTGGTATCAATTGTTAATTCATTTTTAAGAATCCTGCCTAACTTTGAGGCTCAACTTGGTAAGAGAATTTTACCCCTGAAAAATGAGTTTTACTTTTTGGTTTTACTTTTTACCTTCGGCTCCTGTTGCTTGTTTTGGCTTTGTTGTAAGTCTTTCGCGTTTTTTGGCAATTTGGGTTACATTGGCTGCTGTCTGAAAAATTATCTGGCACTTATATTCACGCTTAATTGGCATTTTTTATGAAACTCGAGCGTGCTGAAAAGTGCAGCAGCAGCAGGCAGTACAAATAAACACAAACATTCGTGCTCTTCTCGACTCCTTGGCGGTTTCGGTTTCTCCGGGACCAAGTCCGTGTGTCCCCGTCTCTGACAATGACACTGGCACTCAAAATCAAAGGGGAAAAATCAATTTAATGAGCAAAACATGCAATAAATTACACTGCCGGACAAATGAATTTTATTTATTTCATTTTTCCTCCTTTCAACAAATTGGGTCACATATTGCAGGAATTTGTTTTATTTCTGGTTGCTGCCTTGTGTGTTTTTGTTTTGGTATCATTTTTAGTTCGAACTTCGAACAGGAAATGACCAGTTTTAATAATTTAAATTTTATTAATTCGATATTGAAGCAATTTATTTTATCTCTGCCTCGTTTATGTTATTGTATTGGTTTTTGGCAAATGACAAAACGAGTTCTCAGACTTGACCTTTTAGTGGTCTTAGTCTGGCTTAATGCTATGCATGATTCTAAATCTGTGGTGTGTTTATTGTTTTAGTGAGATTGTCAGGCAATATGTCAGAGTCAGTGCCTCAAACTGGACCATCATATAAAGCCGAAACCGAAGCCACAAAAAACCACAGTAGCAGCCACAAAAACTGTAAGTTGAGGAATTTAAAAAAGCATTCAGTCGCGATCAATTTATTTGACATCAATGGCAGAGGCAAATAAAAGGCTACCTAGCTCCGGTTATTTGTGGTAATCAAAATGACTGATGAGCCAGCTCTATAAACTGGTTCGCATCTATTGCCCAAGCGTGGGCGTTTTATTGTCTTCGCTTGTGGTAGCCCGAAATTAGAAATCTTTGATTTGATTTTAAATGCAAATCGATTTCGATCGGTGTATTTAAATCCATCTAATTCGTTTTGTTTTAAGCACGAAATCCGAAATATTTATATTGATTTCTATTTGGTAGCCGTCCCGCTGCGACGGACAACAGTTAATGAATGGGTTCGCTTGGGAAATTCTATCGGCCGAATGCGAAGCCATAAGCTTGCATCATTGACAAATCGCCGGACAAAGACTCTTCGAACACTTTACCAGCTTAAATACTCGTAGATTTGGCTTAAGCCGCAGCCACCGCTCAAGTGATAAATGATAGTCGAATGTGACTTGGCTTATGGCCTGCGTACACCTGTTTGAAGTCAACACGTTGTGAATGAATCGCTTCCGGCATGAATGGAATGGAATCTTGGCCTGCCGTTCGGCGATGATGCCAGCCTCGAGTGCTGGCCCATCGTTTCGTTCTCGAGTGCAATCGAAGGTGTTTGTTTCCAGGAAGATGAGTAACAGAACCGACTGGGAACATGGCAAATTGGCGGACATTTTATTGTTTTCCATGAAATTTACTACCGTCTAAAATGTTTAGATCTTAGTTTGCCTTTGGCTTGGGAGAAGTAACGGGAACACAATTAAGGAAAAGGTACAACCTTCTTTTAAAGAGTAGTAAAATTAGACAGGCGTTAAAGGTACACATTTAAAATAAAAGGTTTTTAAAATTAGAAGTGAGAAGCTTAAGCAAACTCGATGTCAACTGCAATCATAGATTTGAAGTATGACGCAATTTTTAAGTCATGCAAAAGGATACTTTCTTATTGTTTGATTGTTTTAAAAAAAGAGTAACAAGTACTGAAATCCTTAATGAAGCTTCTTATAAAACCATTATCTCTATTAGTTCGATTCACTTCCGAAACGATTCTATCTTTTAACGACCAACACGAAGAGGCTTTAGTAGCTCGTCATAAACTGCAGGTGCCTGTCGACTTGCCCGAGAATCTCGCCAAACATTGCCAATAAATTTCCGCTAGTGGTACATAAAAATTTGCCACATAAATTACAATTTGCGTGCCCCTGTCGACTGGCCAACAACAAGGCGCACACTTGTCACACAGATACTCCGGCCAACAAACTGGCATTTTGCAATGGATTTGTACGCCGGCCGACCCTAATTGCCATTGAGTGTTGTCCCGGGCAAACGACTAACACTAATTGTGCGTACAACTGCAACTACAAATCCCCCGAACAGCTCAATTTGCATGTGATCGTCTGCATTTGAGGCACACTCCCGTTAAAGGAGGTCTTGAGGATTTCAGCGACTTCAGCGAATCTCGGCATTCTGGGCAATTAGCCTGGTCTGAAAATGGGGAGGGGATTCGAAATGGAGTGCAGGCATAAATGTCAGCTTCAATTTGGCCTGCAATTAAAAGAGGCTGGGGCAGCGCGCAGCTGACAGATCACCGGGGCAACAACTTTATTTGCAGATTCATTTGCCGGCCACAAGATGAATGACTTTGCAGCTGCTGCTGGCGATAAGCGAACACGAATGGCGAGCTGGCTGATAAACGCCGAGAAAGTCAGGCGAACGACTTTCTTTTCTTTTCAGCCAAAAAGAAAACTTCTTGGACTAGCTGAAAAAAAACACAACTCAATTGTAATTATTGTGTTGATTGTGCAAAATTCGGGCGTTCGGGCGTTGCTCATGCAAATTATCGATTCGATTCGATTCGATTTGGCGTCTGGCACGAGTTGGTTTCATAATTAAAATGCAGGCAAAACGGGAAAGAGTTGCGGTCAGTCTGAGCTACCGCAAAATGTATAAATTATGCAAAAAAGGTATTCGAACATGAAAAACAAAAAACAAAACAGAGACCTTAAAATTCATATTGTTAGCAAACGTGGGCATTGTTAGCCGCCTAGACGTTCAGCGATTGGTCCACTGAAAGTTGGCTCATTAGCATGTTAGGCACACGCCCCACACCGCAGCACACGCCCCGAAAAACTATTAAAAAAAACAAGAAAGGAAGAAAACATCGGGAAGCAGAAGTTTATATACCCTTGCAGTATTACCAAAATTAAATATTCTATATATCGATTTCGTTGCTTAATAACAATGAAGCTAGGTCGATTTTACGATTAAATTTCCGATCGTTTTTGTTACGTCTATATGATTATCGTCCCCTTAAAACGACAAATTCTAATGCAGATTTTTAGAGGGTCAAACCATAAGTTTTAAGAGGTATGCCACTTTGAAATTGGACTAAAGTCTCCTTTTTACAATTTATCGGAAACTGAACAATAATTAACACGAAAATAGGCCAAAAAATTGATCATCGTTAAAATGACAAATTTCCAAAAGCAAACATGACCTGATCAACTGCCTTGGAAGTGCTGATCAAGAATATATATCATTTATAGGGTCGCAAATGTCCCCTTGACTGCGTTGCTAGCTTTTGAATGAAATTAAAATACCTTCTGCAAGGGTATAAAAAACAAAATCAAGCGGCAGGTTGAGCTGAGTGAGCCTCCCCTGATAATGGCCACAATGCCCGGGCCATAGTTGAGTTATCTAGCCCAGATTGCCGATTGCGGTGGCTCGTTGGCCGCGATGCTGAGGCAATAAATCAAAATTATTATCCACACATTTGACTGTTTAAGGCAGCGCATGCATTTTGGCCATTTATGGCCGGCGGTTCCTGCTTGCGCGATCCGTTAGCGTTGGTCTGGCGAACGGCCTTTGAAAGAATGCCATATACCATATGCCATAGTCGGAGTAGTCGCAGTCGCAGTCGTAGTCCCATTCCCGTACTCCCGTAGTCATCGAAACAGTGGCGCTGGCTTTGGCTTATCTAGCGGACGCAATCTGCGACCTGGAGCCGGAGCTGAAAAGCTGGATCTGGCCGCATTTGAATATGACGCACGAGTGAACCAACTAGGGTGTGTGCCTCAGCCTCAGTTTTTCTATTTTTTTTTCTGGCCGACTATCCAGCTAAAGTCCCAGTGCCAGTGGCCAAAAACCTGGCTTTGCTTTTTGACTGTGACTTGTGGTGAGCACGCTTGATTTTCGATCGGCGATAAGAAATTTATAGTTTCGGCTTAAAAGGCATTAGAGTGTAATATATTTAAAGTTTGGCATCGTATCTATATAGCTACATATATTAACAAGTAAAGGAGGCTCTGGCAACCCATTGTTGCCAAGGCGCACTGCGACTCGGCCCGTGGGTGTGTAAATCTATATGCAAATATTTGCATGCCCAGTCGCAATACAAAAGACTTAGGCAACGAACTTGGCTACCTAGAGCGCTTGTCATAAAGTCATGCACCCAAAGAAGTGCGAGCAGGACGGGGCACTAAGCCGATATTCTTTATAGATCAAGTA